CTTAGGATGCGGGGCCGTTCTGCGGCTGTGCGGTCTTTTCTCCCATCACCCCTAGGCCCGCTCAGCTTCCCTGTTACCCGGGGCCGCTCACACGCGCCCTGCCCACACAGATGGCAAGTGGGTCCTCCCCTCACGGTGGCTGTCCTTTCTCCGCTTCCTGCAGACAAAGACGCGGCAGTCTGCAGCCAGCAGTGCCACCTGGCAGATCCACAGCCCCACCATGGGACGAACTCCACTCTGCCCGAATTTTATATTTGCAGTTTAGTTAATTCCACCTCCGGCAAGTTCTTCCTTACATAAACAGACTCCGCTTTGATTCCTTTCTTCTCTTTTCTCTCTCTCTTATTTATCTCAGGAGCTGTTTAAAATATATAAAGAACAAAAAGTAATATAATTTTCACTCACATTCTCATCCCCCAGAATTGACCATAGTTAATATTTCTCACATACACTTCAAGTCTTTTTTATTCTAATCAAAGGAATGAAACATTCCAGTTAACGTGGAAGCCTCCTTTGTTCCCGTCAGCAGTCCCTTCCCTCGCCCTCTCCTCTGAGACAGCCACTGTCAAGAATTTAGCACATACACTTCCAGAATATTTAAAAATACTTAACAAGAGCGTACATTTCAGAAATAACGTGCGCGGTCTCGTGTGTGCTGTCCCACATTGTGCGCCTGCTGCCCGGTGCAGGTGTGGTGTGGATCTGTCCCCGGATGTGCTCGGGGGAGCGGCCCCTGCTGCCTCGCTCTCTGGGGCCCTGTAGGGGGGGGTGTGAGACAGGCCTGTGGCTCTCGGGGGCAGCTCATGGTGGAGCCCTCGCCTCGCTCGCTCGCGTGGGGCTCTGGGTGCGGTCCGCAGCGCTGCGCGAATGACTGAAGGCATGAACGAGTGAGTGACGACATGAGCCCTAGTAATAGCCAGCAGTTACTGCGCCTTTGCCACAGGCCACACTCCTGTTTTCTGCAGCGTTGTGCTGTGCTGTGATCTCCCAGCCCCCGCGGGACAGGAGGCTTCCCAGGACGGCTCCCATCCTGCTGGCCACAGTGGTCCCCAGTCACGATTCAGACATACAGGTGTCGGTGATACTCTGGAGCCCAGGAGAATGAAACTCGGGACAGTGGGTAGTCGGCACCCCTTGGGGGCTTTGGTGGAGAGAGCGCACGCTGGGTTTGCACTGGGCAGCCCTGGGAGAGTGCACAGATTACTAGCTGCTTCCGCCTCGGTGTCCCTGTCTCTGGAGCAGGGCTTGGCTGTGTGTCTACCCAGCAGCTCCCCTCAGGAGCCAGGTGAGACAGGCTACGACTGGAAAGCACTCTGCGTTCCGCACAGTGGCCTGAGATGGGAGAGGCCGCAGCAGACGAGCTCGGCCACCTTGTCACTCTCCTCCAGCAGAGCACCTCCTCTGCTGAGCAGCACCCCCACGATTCTCCATGCCTGACAATACATATCCTCATTCCTCAAGCAGCGGCCTCAAAAGGTGGTTTCAAATCCCCGTTTTTCTGGCTTGTGTAATTACTAGTATGGCAACAACATCATTTTCCCCCCTTTTTAAACTTCATAGATACATTTCGACCTCATTATGAGTTAAATTGAATTTTGTGGGTGGCCAGGGAATCTTATCAAAATGTGTAGCTTCAGTTCTTTGGAAAAATTGCTTCTACCCATTGTCACACCGCCAGTAACGAGGGACATTTTGGAGCACCCCCAGTGTGAGTTGAGGCCCCTGTACTGTACAGTTGGCATTGCTTGCTAGTGAGTCAGAAGGATGGTTACTCTCCCCGGTGAGACTATAAACTGCTCAAGAGTGAGCACTGTATCTTGCGTGGATCCCCCAGAATAACCAGCAGGCCGCAAACCCATTGCTTAATCCCCCCAGTGCCTCACTTCCTATCTGCCCTAAAGAAAGGGTGCTAATTTCCTTGGCCGTCAGTGAACCCCACACTGTCAAGGCTGATGACTCACAGATTTTTGTCCAGGTTCAGTATTCTTTTTTCCAGCACTTAGTATATGCCAGCACCGTTTTACATTTGCCAAGGTGCTCAAACTTTACAAAACCACCTTGGGTGGTGGGTTTTTATCATACACATTGTATAGACGAGGAGGCTAAGGCCCAGAGAGGTCAAGTAACTTGGCTGGCTCACATGACTGTTAAAGACTCAAAGCCAGACAGCCTGTCTCCAGGACCCAGGCTGTCATTCTGTCCCTAGCGCCTAGCGCAGCAGGCTTAAAGCCCGCTGTCCTCACTGCGGCCCTGTGGTCCTCTCCCGAAGAAAAGTGCGGTGCTGTGCTTTCACCAGCTCCGCGGCTCCTGCCCTCTGTTGGCACCTCGGGCGGTGGCAGGAGAATGGGTATTTCCTGCGTATGCACACATTCAAACGCCTGGGAGCGTACCGAGGAGAGTGGGTGATTCTTGAGAGTCTCCCGTCCAGAGCCCAAGTCTAGGTCAGCATGTGGCGGTCCCTCCCTAGCCCTGTCCCTTGACCACATTACAGCTGGGCGCGGCTGAGACCTCCTCCTGGAAGCACCGGCAGAGGAGACAGCCGCAGCGCAGGAGAGGGTCTGGTTCGTCCACTGTGGAGCCAGAGTGCAGGGCTGGGACTTCAGTCTGGAGTTCTCTGGTCTATAGGAAGCTCTCAAAGATAAGAAGATACTATGTTTTGAGCCCAGTTGCTCCTTCAGACTGGTTTCCTTCCAGTGCCCAGGCCTGCCCCTGAGCTGGGTGGGCTGCCACCCCCTGCAACGCCATTGTCTTTGCTGGAAGTTGTGCTACTCAGCAAGAGGGGTGGGTACTTGGCAAGCAGCCCATTTGTGCAGCTGTCAGTAAAGTGCCTCAGTGGCCCATGAGCTTTCCCACAGACTAAGTGATGGTGTGGTTTTCTGGCCCTGTGAAATCGCAGTTGAGACCTTGAGCATTGAGGTCACATAGTACTGGAGATGTGGCTCAGTCCTAGAGTTGTCGCCGCGTTGAGCAGCATTAACTGTTACTTTGGCCAGGCACAGTGGTGAACACCTGTAATCCCAGCGCTCAGGAGGCTGAGGCAGGAGGATTCTTGAGCCTAGCCATTTGAGACCAGGTTGAGCAACATAGGGAAACCCCACCTCCAAGAAAGAAAGGGACTGAAGATGGGGAAGGGGGAGACAGGGAAAGGAAGGAAGGCCATTTTGAAGTTCAGAGGGAGTGGAATCTGGGAGTTGGGGTGAGAGGTGCTCATTACCTCATCCTAACCAGCTTCCGCTCCTACTGATTTTGGATTTAGGATGAGTATCTAGTTCTGCTGAAAATGAGATCATATATTCAACTCTGTGGCCGTGTTAGTGCAAATGAACTCTAATGTGATTAGATATTAATGCAATGTAATGGAGGATTGGTATTAAATTGAGACCTTCTGATCTCATTACTCCACAGATGCTCCCTTCTGCTCAGGCTGCCGCCCTGCTCAGAGCCCTGTGGCCAAGGAGGAGCCTGGTGCAGGGGAAGGGCGGAGGGGCGGCAGCGAGGGAGCAAGTGGCCATGGGGGCTGGGCCAGGCCCGAGCTTCGCAATGGGGAGTCCGGCCTTCAATCCAGATTCACCACAGGACTGACAGGCCCAGGGCTAGAAAGTTAGGAGCAAAGTCTTTGTTCTGTCGCCTCTACTCTGACCTCCCCTCCACCCCAAGCCTTTTTGTGTGGCTGTGACTTGAGCCCAGGAGTTGTCCCTGGCTGTTGTGACTTGTCTTTTCCTTTTCTGGGCGTCTGGGCTGAAAAGCAGGCCGTGGACCAGCTTCAGTGTGTGCTGTGGCTTCCTGTGGGGCAGGGATGGGACTCTGATGCCCGCTTCAGTTCCCTTGCTCCGCCTGGCCTGCTGGAGGGAGGAGTTCAGCCCGGAAGTTACAGGCAGGCCTGGCCGGGCTCCCCGGCCACAGGCTGCATCCAGTCTGCAGGCCGCCTGGGAGCGCTGGGTCTGGGGGTGAGGAGCCCTCCTGAGAAACGGCAGGAGTGCAAACTCAGGACTGTCTGAGGGCATCACCTTCCTGTATGAATAATGACGATTTTACAAAGAGCGATTTTTCTGATCTGCTTTCAGAAAGCTGCTTTCTGAGGCACAGCCTTTGCACACAGGCTGGTAACGACTTTTTAATGACCTTAAGAGGCCTGGTGTCCAGGCAGCAGTGAATCAATCTCAGTGGGAGGTTTGTAGGGAGAGAGAAGATGGAACACCTGAAACCAGAGGGGGAAAACAAACTGCGAATACATATATTTTCTTTGCTAGCATTACTTGGTAATTAGACAATTACAGGAAACGGCTTCGCAGCAGCTGGCATTTCCACTGTGTGAGCGGAGGACGGATGGCAACTGTGAACTCCTCACATTTACTGTAGAAAATATTATTGGAGCTTGCAGTCGTGGGTGCCGTGCCCTCCTCGGTGCATCCTGCCGAGCGGGGAGCTCTGGGCCCGAGGCAGCCACCTCCCCCGGCCCTGCTGGGGTGCCCGCCCCCTTCCCATGAGAAGTGGCCTTCAGGATAGTGGGCTGCATCTGAGACCACCCGGGGCCGGGCCAGTCCTGAGAATGGCTGTCTGGGGGCTAGGGAGAAGTTGCCCACTCCAAGCGCTGGGTCCTGCCCCACCCTGGCCAATGCCAACCCTGCCCCGCTGCAAAGCTCCCGCCCGGGGCAGGTCACTCCACCAGCAGCCTCTGCCCCAGGCCCCTTCCCTGGCCCATTTCATGGATGAGAAAATGTTTCACACGCTGCTCCCTACCTCAGCCCCACCCTGTCACAGGGTGCTGGGTTTTGGAACAGTCTTGCGGGAATCCTGAGTCACATTCACTGACAGGGGGTAGTGCCTTCTTTGAGGAGACGCGGCCCCCTGGATCGGACACTGTTTCTTCTGCCCCTACAGCCTGGCCCCCGGCTCCTGTGGCACAGGTCTCCGGCGTGGGTGCTCTCCGGGGGTGCAGCTCCGTGAGCCCCACTGTCAGCAGGACGACTGCAGCATCTAACCTGTGTTTCCTCTCACAGGTCCTGGCAGTCAGTGACTTTTGAAAGACAGCCTGCCTCCTTCATCCGAATCGTCGGGACACACAACACAGCAAATGAGGTAAGCACCTCTTCCAGGGAGGAGTGCTGTGCTATTCAGCGGTGCCCTGGTAAATGCAGTCCGAGTTAAGTGCAACTGTTTGCTCTGCCTGCTAATGGCTTGTTGTCCCCGCAGCTCAGTGCAGGAGAGGCCCCGCTCTCGCGCAGCAGGGCCGTCATTATTGTGTCTGGATGTCTCCTCGCTGGCGGATGAAAGCCAGCACCCACCGCCTCTCCTGTTCCTCCAGCCTCGCCGCTCTCTGCGGAATCCGCACCGCCGAGCCCTCGCCTCAGAGTCCTCGGTGCCCCGGACGGTGGCTTTACGCGGGTCCGTGGCCCTCCGAGTGGGGTGTCACGGATGGCTGTGCGGTCCACTTGGCTCATGTCCCTCTCTCTTTTGTCACAGTTCCCTGTGTGGTGTACACCTCCAGAAGACCTTTGGTTAAAGATGGGGCATGTAAGGGGCAGGGATAGTAATGCAGAAGTTCCACAGGGAAACGGGAAGCATAGTCACAGTGATCATTCTGCACTGGCACCCTTCGGGGACCTTCTCGGTTTCACACAGCACTGGCTTTGTGGCCGTGCCAGGCAGCGGTGCTGGAGGTCAGGGTCCAGTGTGGTCCTGAAAGTGAGTCCTGGCCTGTGTGGGTGGCCCATCCGAGGCTGCACAGTAGCACATAGCCAGTGAAAGGCTGCGGCGGGCAAGAGAGAGACGGGAGGAAAGGAGGACGCTGCTTGGCTGCTTTTGAACTCAGGGCTCTGTTTGCGCTTCGTGCCCGGTCCCCTCACATTCCAGAACCCGCCCGGGACACACGCATTGTGTTGGCGGAGTCAGAATTCGCCCAGAGCACCTCGGAGAGTGTCAGTTCTTCAGAAAGCATTTTAAAAAGTGAAAACATTGTGATAATTCAGATTCATTTTGCCTTTTTTATTTATTTAGAGTAAAAATGATTCATACCCGCAGTGTTTCTTGTGGAGGCACGCATACACAGAAACTGAACTTTCTCACGCTCCGTTTCAGAATAAACCTGAAAGTTATAAAAGTGAACCAGCTGATGTTTTTAAAGCAAAATTCAAGAATTCTAAACATTGGGTTATAAAATCACGTTTTCTTCTTTTTGTGTGTATAACAAAAGTAAATTTGAATCTGTGTTTTAATATATATTTGATTTCACCCATAATTTTAAAATTTTTCCAACAAATTGCAATTTTTATTACACACTGTAAATTATTAATGGTACTTGCTAATTTGAAAAAAGTTTAAATTTATCTTTACAAGTAATAGTCAAACTGAAGTATTTCTACTTGCAGTCCTTACTCCTAGACCAGCACGTACCCGCAGGAAAAGGCCATCTTTGCCTCGCTGTGTACCTGGAGCTCTGACATCATGTATTCAGGGGAAGGCAGTCTCAGCTGGGAGAGACGGGGCCGTGCCCCGTGGGTGCTCAGCATCTCCCCCAGACCTGCCCCCGCCCCGTGACCGAAGGGGGGAAAGGCCGTGCCTGTTGGGGTCCAAAGCTGTTCCAGAGGAAGAACGGCTTCCCGTGGCAGAGCGGTAGACTTGGCGTGAAGGTCTCGCCTCCACGGTGGCTCCCACAGCCTCTGTGCCAGGTCCCCAGCCCCTTGGGTGGAGACCAGGCCTCTGGTTTGCGGGTCCCAGCCAGAAGGTCACTGGTTCCCTGGTGATCTGTCTCCTTTGGCTGATGAGTGACTGCCTTACAGGATCAGTTACTGACCAGGAAAGGAAAGCCCACTGTGCCATTGCCGGCTGCGAAACGTCACACAGTGAACACTGCTCGGGCCCTAGACAAGATCCGCGCCCCTCAGCACCCTTCGTGCACGAGAAGGGGCAGCACGGCTGCGTCTCCGCACCAAAGTGCACGTGCAGAGGGGCTCTCTTTCCACGCGCTGGGCGCTGGGCGGCAGTGTCCCCGGTCTTGGGAACAGGCTGCCTGGGGGAAGGAAGATGACTGGGTGGAGGGGCGGCGCTCCGAGGAGACAGCTGTGGAGGAGGACCGAGAACAGGAGGGCTCCCCGCTGCACGGGGAATAGCCGGGGAGAGGCCGGGGCGAGCACGGAGCACAGCCCTGAGCCGTGGTCCCTTAGGAGACGGGACGGTGCCATCAGAAATGGGACCAGGTACCTCTTTCTCACCAGGGAGGGTGGCCCCGGTTTGTCCCTACTAGGTGGCCAGGCAACTTTGGTGACTGCCTCGGCCCGGGCTGCTGGAGCCGAATACCCCTGACTGGGTGCCTGGCACAGCGCGCGGTGGCTGCTCCCAGCCGTGGAGGCAGAAGGCTGCACTCCCCAGCCTGCACCGTGCAAGTGTGCTGCGGCCAGAGCCTCGGCGCACGTGCCCACTCCCTCTGCGGAAGGGTGCTGATTCAAACTGCATCAGCGCCCACAGGCCCCACTTCTAGTGCCACTCCATGGGGGTCGGGGCTTGGTACACTCAGTCCTTAGCAGCGGCCCTTGTTCTAGCTGGAGCTAGGGCTTGTTTCCCTGTAGCTGCTGACTGTGAACCCAAAGACTGTGCTAATTCCAGAGTGGATGGAACTGGGTTTTAGCACAGGAAGGTAGGGCTGTCTGTGTCCAAGGAGGAGACAGAAGCAGTGGCGCACAGACCTTGGCCACACTGCCCAGGATGGCCTGCTGCCGCAGGTGCCGCTGCGGCCGGGAGGCGGGGCAGAGAGCTCCTGCGTGCAGAGGGGTGGCGCGGGGCTGTGTCGGCACAAGCTGGAAACTGGCCTGGACAGCGTGTACGTGGCCAGAGCTGCCTGCTGCAGGGAGAGCCCCCGAGCAGTTGCACTCAGCCTGCAGCCCGGTGAGCTGCCGGCCGCGCGGCCGTGACCGTGGAGACTGCCGACCTCCAGACGCCCAGCTGCTGGGGGGCGGGGGGCTCTCAAGCCACACCGGGTCGGATGCCGGCCCTCTGTGGGCCGACTGTCGTGCCCCGACCGCCAGGCCTTCCTGAGTCTCCCGGTGCATGGTGGCCACGCCCTCTTCCCTCCCCCTGGTGGCTGGCGCAGATTCCTTGATCCCTGTTGGGCCACGCTTCTGGCTCCTGCAGCACCGTCCCTCTTCTGGGAGGTGTGCGTCTGCTGCCGGCATCTGTCCCTCCTCTTTTGTGAGCACGACAGAATGCACTCGCTGGATTTTTAGCTGTGCTTATGACTTCTGCCAATGAATGCCCCTCATGCTTGCCTCTTACAGACTCCTCCGCTTGTCCTGGGACCTCCGCGTGTCCTGGTCACATCTCCCTTAGGACGCTCTCCTTCGCCAGCCCCAGCGCGGTTCTTCATCTTCCGCGCTTTCCTCTTGCAAGCGCAGCCGCTTCTCACATGTCATGCTGCGCCCCTTTACCCTTGCACGCTGGCGGTCCTCCGCCCCGGGGCCGGCTCCCTTTGCCTTCCTCCCACGCCCAGGACAAGATGGCAGACCTGTGTCTGTCTTTGAGCAACCTGCCTCCCTTCCCTTGCTCTCGCTCATCTGATTCTGTCCAGTGCCTGTGGCCAGAAAGGTCACTCTCTGCCCATCCTTGGGCATCGTTGGTGGTCTCAGTGGCCTGTTTAGCAAGCCTCTGTTTGCCCCCCTGTGCGTGCCCATTTGGCTCCACTGTTGTCAGCAAGGGCAAGGGCCAGACAGCGCTCCGCTGTGTAAGCCTCTCCTGTCTGAACAGGGCCAGGAGCTGTGCATGCTTCGGGTGTCAGAGCGGACCTCAGCTTTCAACCCCTGACCGTGTGACAGCCCTGCTGGTTCACAGGTGCTTGGTCTGTCTTCCACCCCTTTCTTTTCATTTTATTAATTATTTTAGAAGATAGCAAAGGCGCACACGTACATCCTTACAGAAATTCAGCTGAGTTTAAATGAGCTCAAGTCTGTGTGCCTGTGAAAACGAGTCCATGATATTAAAAGAGATAGAAGTTACGTCTTTTATGACAACCTAGGTTTGAGGAAAGTTCTCGAGCAGTTTTTCTGTAGGCAGGGAGCTCAGGGTCCAGGAAACCCCAAGGATTAAGCAAGGTCATGGGAAGAGCAAACTCTCTGCGTAGAAAGACGGGGTTCTTGCCCGCGAGAGCTGCGTGTAGCTTTGCCGGGTCAGTAGCGGGAGTGGAGGACGGCATTGACAGCCAGAGGCAGCTCCCAGGCTTCGCTGTGCTTACTGAGTTTATGTGGGAGAGGCCGTGGCACGTTCGTCTTTATACCTTCGGCACCCAGTGTGGCACCCGGCACAGACAGCATAGCGCACCTGTTAGCCGAGCGAACGAAGGAAAGATGTGATCTCTGCAGCTGTCTCGTCCCCCAGTCAGTCCAGTACAGAAAGAAAGGAACAGAGCTTCATTATCGAGAGACCGTGCGTTCTGACAGTTTCCACAGCCGTCGCGAGGCTTTCCCCCGCCCAGGGACTTCCGTAAGTGGAAAAGTGTGCATAGCCAGCCGTTGGTGTCTCTTCGCTTAGGGCCCTGGTAATGACGCAGTGGTTGTCGGCGACAGTGAGAGCAGCTCTCGTCGTCTGAGCGCTGTGCCAGGCCCCATTCCAGTGTACTCTCGTGTGTGGTGGAGAACACCGCCACCCATACTTCAGAGGTGGCAGCTGTCACCCAGCGCCTCGGGAGAGGTATCTGGCAAAACCAGCTTGCGAGTGTGCTGTGTCCCCTGATGAGGGAGCGTGTCCAACTGTGCCCATGCTCAGAAGAGCTCTCCTGGTCAGGGTGTGACCGTGAGCTGTACTCTGCCCAGCGCTGCCCACCGCAGACCTCAGGACACCCCGCGTCGCCTGCCCGTTGCAGTGGCCCAGGGCCCGGCGGACGGACGTCAGAGCATGGTGAAGGGCGTGGCTAGGGTTATGTTCACACAGACCTCAAGACCCGCGAACCCACGTGTAGTGTTTATGCTTACATGGAGCTAAAACCGCAAGGGAAAGGGCGAAGGAGCCACGATGGTTCCAGCGAGAACCGGTTTCCTCCGCGTGCAGAGGTCTGGGGTGGGGCTCATGGCGGGCCCTCTGCTGGACCGGGCAGT